AAGAGATCCACTCTAGATCGAACCCTGTCATGTCAAAATTCCAGGCATGATTTTGCCATGTGTCAAGGACTTTATACTACAGATAAACCTTTAGAGAAGCAGATATATAAATACAAAGGTGTTTATTGCATAATTATCTGCAGTAGAAAAATAAGAATAAAAACATAAATATCCATCCACTAGGTACCTGATAAGCAAATTTTGCTATATTCAAACACAGCAGTTCATAAAAACAAAAACACAACAGATAGCTGCTATGGGAAGATCTCCAAGATGATTCGGAAAAGAAAGCTCTAGAATGGCATCTATATTTGTGTATAAAAAAGAAAAGACATATTAGGTAGGCTGCATATGTACACAGATATACACACATGTAGGTGTGGATGGTGCTTCTGTTTGGGACGATGAAAAAGCTCTGGAAATGATGGACGGTTGTGATGGCCGCGCATGGAGAATGTGCCTCATGCCACCACAATGTGAGCTTAAAAAACAGTTAAAATAGGAAAACTTATGTAAATTTTAGCAAAATAAAAAAAACATTTATAGATCTATATCTAGATGACTACATACACCAAAAATATTATCCACAGTTAATTCAAGAGGAACTGGGAAGGGGAGGTTGGGAGGATGTTACTTATTTTCCACTTGGCAGCCTTTTGTGCTATTTGCAACTCTAACTAGTCTGTAACACCAAACAACCCAAACAAAAACGAATGGCGGGAACTCGGACATTAAACGAGGTGTGCACGTGGCAGTTCTAGGCAGGGCAGAAAGTGCAGGGACAGGGACTCACCCGTCCAGCGGAGCACCTTGAACTTGGCTGTGGCTCGGTACATTTCTGGTGACAGTTGCTGGGGTTTGGAAGTATCTCAAATACACAACAATTTTCAATATGATAGTATTTTAGGAATAAGATTACATTTATGTAAGGACACAGAAAACTACTGCTAGCAAACAGGAGGACCCTTTTGTGATTACTGTCCAGTGCCGCCTGGAAGAGATGCTGCCCTCTGCAAGCCCCCCTCCCCATCTCTGACATGAGCACCTGCTGTGCCAGGCAGGTGGGTAGAGATAAAGCAGCTCCGACCACCGCCCACCGCCTCGCCCAGGCCAGTGCCGCTGCATTCCCAGGCCCCCTCTTGGGGGAGGGGCAGGAAGAAGCACGGCCCCTGGGGCTTCTCCGGGTGGACATGCCCCCGCTTGGGCAGCCCGGCCCCCCAGGGCTGACCCGGGAGCTCCTGCCCGGCCCAGGGCGACCCGGCGAGTCGGGCGCAGGGCGCGCCCTCCAAGCACACCCAAGGCCAAGGGCCGCTGGACCCCAGCCCCTGAGGAGCCGCCCGCCGCGGGAGGGAGCCCTGGGCCGATCCCAGGCCACCGGGTGCGGTTACGGGAGCCGCCTCCCCTCCCGCGCGCGGCCGTCCCCTCCCCGAGGTTTCCTGCCGAGCGCCGCCACCCAGCGCCCGGCTTATCGGCCGCGATCTGCCCCCGCGGCAGTTCCCGCTCGGCGCCCGCCCCCACTTGCGGTCCCTGCCCCCCGCCGCGCCGCCCCGCCCCCGGCCTGTGCGCAGGGGACTCGGCGGCGCTGGGGCGCCGGGGGCGGCGCGGGGCCGCGGGGGGCAGGGGGAGCCGCCCGGCCCTGGGGCCCCCTGCGAGGCGGGGGAAGGCCCGGCTGCGGCCGCCCGGCACACGCACGCGCCCCCTCGCACACGGGCTACGCGCACACGCGCGTGCTGAGCGCACACGCACCCGCTCGCTCACACCCGTACAGCCCCGAGGACAGGCTGCTGCCCGGGGCTGGAGGCCCGGGACACACAGACCTGCCGAGGGGCGCCCCCAGCCCCCTCCGCCTCCCCCGAGCCCAGGGAGGAAGCGCGGGGGTCCCTGTTCCCACCCAGGGGACTCCAGGTGTCGTCAGAGCTGCCGCGCTCAGCGTCGGGCCGCCCAGTTTCAGGGCTTCCCTGGCGGCCGCAGGGCTGGGGCTGAGCGCCCCGGATCCGGGCCTGCCCCGCGGGGCCGTGTCCCCGCCACCCCGCGGGGCCTCGGGAGCGAGGGGCCTGGGGGGCGCCGCGCACGGATTTCGCTGACTTGGCTGACCGGGTCCCATTATTTACGGATTCTGTCCTAGAAGGGCAGGCAGCGCGGTCTGCGCTGCTCTGGGTGGGGGGCCTCTTTGCCCTCGTGGCGCCCCCAGGTCACACAGTCCTAGTAGGCTGCCCAGCAGGTCTGGGCCGGGAGGGCCGGGAGCCCACCCCGGGGCAGCGGGTTAGTGCCTGGCAAGGCCGGCCCTCCCGTCTCAGGCGCTCCCCCCAGGCTGCCACAGGGCCACTGCCCTCTGGGCAATTCTTCTGGAAATTCTGTGAATGCGTCTAGCCCCGCTGGGCCTCACAGACTGGCTGCTCTGTGAGGGAGGGCAGCAAGCCGACAGGGCCCCGCGCCCACACGCTCCACCCGGGGGGTCAGAGAGACGCCCAGGGAGCCCAGGTCCACATGGCAGGTGGTCCTCGCGCTCACCCCCTGCACGTCCCCAGCCGCTGTGCAGCCCCATGCCGGTCAGGCCTAACCTACCACCACTGCTGCTGGGGATCTGCTTTGTTTGAAATATAACCAGGAGGACGGCCCTGGAATTTCTTTCCCTCCTTCTTGCCCCACTTTCATCACATCCAGGCGTTTGCTGAGGACCAGCCTATGGGGCTGTGGCGGGAGGCCGCCCTCCCACCTGTGTCCTGGGAGATTCCTGAGCAGTGGGCGTGAGACGCCACCGGGGCCCGGAGCCGGTGGGCATCTCAGCGTCAGTGCTGGCGCAGAGCCTCCAGCAGCCCCGGGCCATCTGGGGCCCCCGAGTGACTTGCCCCGGCTGTGTGGAAACAGGATGGGGGCCTGAGCCCTGGGTGGTGTGCTTACGTCCCTTCGGGCCTGGCTGGGCAAAGCAAGTCCCAGCCCCAAGCAGACCAGGACGACCAACACAGGAGGACAGAGCAAAGAAATGTCGCCAAAATGGAGTTGGCTTCTTGTCCCCTTTCCCCCCACTGATTTATCCTGGATGGAGAGAGGGCAAAAATCCCCTGCTCACCCTGGAGGTTGGCACCGCGGTGAGCTGAAGCCGGGGCCCCGCGGATATGCAGGCGTGGGCTTTCCTGAAGGGGTGCTCCTGCCCAGAGCGCCTCTCCCTCCTCGAGCGGTCTGCACACCCACTTCCCAGCTCTCCCCTTCCCCTGGCCTCCTGCCCCAGGGCTCCAGGCCACGCCAGCCTCCGCTGCATTCATTAACGGGTAGTGCAGAGAGCGTTTCGTACTCTCACTGCGTCTTTCCTGCTCAGCTGGACTGCAGAACCCTGGAGGGCAAAGACCTAGTTCTCTCGTTTTTGCCAACACCAGGCTTGTGGGACCCAGAGGCTGATTGACTGATTGATGCCCCTTACATTTCAAAGAACCTGTGAGTTGGGAGACACCTGTCTGACCATTTTCATGGTCACCCAAAGCGCGTGTCCTTAGGGGAGCCACTTCACCCCTGGTTTCTTGGACACCAAAATAAGGGTGTTAACAATCTCTGTAGGTCCTTCCAGCTGTGATCCAGGGTTCAAGCTGGTCATCAGGAAGAAAGCTACCCTAGGATTTCTTCATGAGGAGCCGCCACGAAGTGCCAGATTCCCAAAGAGGCCCTGCACCTTCCCTGTCGTTGCTCTGTGAGTGGCCTGGGCATGGACGTGAGTGAGTGGGACATCGCAGCTCCTAAGCCTCTGAGGGAGGACGGAGGCAGGGCCTTCCTCGCAGGTGGACCCCAGGCTGTGAGCAGGCCCTTTGCCCTGCGTTTGACTCAAGCCCAGGTCCCGTCAGGCGGGATGGCCGCTCCGACCAGTATCCAAATGACGCTAAACAAAGCACAGGCCAAGCTCACCCGGAAAGGGGCTGCCAGCCTTCCAGGAGGCCAGCCCAGCACTTCTAGGAAGTCTGCTCGGCTCAGGCCCCATTAGATTCTCCGGCTTCACTAGCTGTTCCCGGTCCCCCCGGGCTCAGCTCTCATGCTGCCTCTTCTGGGAACAGAGCTCATCTCCCTCCGACGGGCGCCTGACCCTGTCCGCACAGCGCCCTAAGAAGGAGGAATCGTGGAGCAAATTTGCTGTCAAACAGAATGTGAGTTACATTTTCAAATCATACATTCAATGTTTTCACGCAACCTTTGGGTATCTGTTCAGGTGTTCACTCGTACCTCAAATTGAAGAGACGGGTCCAATTGTTAACCTTGTAAAAAAAAGGTATAAGAAATACAGTATTTTCTCTGGGTCCCAGGCTTTTTTGGACACTTTAGGATATTTCTTACACTTTTTCACACTAACAATTGGACTCACTGCTTTAAATTTCGAAGAACTTCATTGGTAAGGTATCTGGAGGTTGAGGAAAGCCATACTGAGCATGTTGTTTTGAAAATGTACCTATTGTTCTGTTTAAAAATACGTTTATGGTAGCATTTCTGACTTTTCAGCACTGTCGTTCTTGACACATTTTTCACTAATTATTGGATGACAGGTCTGTTCCCATTAAAAATTAAACACGTCTTGGAATATCTTGTAGTCCTCTTTGACTCTCTAATCCCTAGTCAGTCCCAGCATGAAGTAGGTGGTCATAAGGGTTTGATGAATGAGTAAATGATAGTCAAGTGGGTTTCACCCTAACCGTTGCTCTGGGGCTGAGCCCAGAGTGGGCTGCCCCCCTCATTCTGTGGTTTCAACTCTCTCCTTAAACCCCCCAGAGAGTTTGGCAGGAATAAAAAGGATTAAGACTAAGACCTTTAGTCTCAGATATTGAAGAGAAATGTAAGTAAGCATCAGAGAAGTGGGCCCCTGCCTGCAGCCAGGTCCAGGAGAAAGACCCAGCTCCTCACCTGGCCAGCATGGCCAAGTCTGGGGCCTGGGGGCGAGTTATTGCTGGGTTCCTCTGAGTCTGAGCGGGGTTCCCGGGGGTGGGGAGGTCTTGCGCATGTCCCAGCTTGGATTCGTACTCTCACTGCGTCTTTCCTGCTCAGCTGGACTGCAGAACCCTGGAGGGCAAAGACCTAGTTCTCTCGTTTTTGCCAACACCAGGCTTGTGGGACCCAGAGGCTGATTGACTGATTGATGCCCCTTACATTTCAAAGAACCTGTGAGTTGGGAGACACCTGTCTGACCATTTTTATGGTCACCCAAAGCGCGTGTCCTTAGGGGAGCCACTTCACCCCTGGTTTCTTGGACACCAAAATAAGGGTGTTAACAATCTCTGTAGGTCCTTCCAGCTGTGATCCAGGGTTCAAGCTGGTCATCAGGAAGAAAGCTACCCTAGGATTTCTTCATGAGGAGCCGCCACGAAGTGCCAGATTCCCAAAGAGGCCCTGCACCTTCCCTGTCGTTGCTCTGTGAGTGGCCTGGGCATGGACGTGAGTGAGTGGGACATCGCAGCTCCTAAGCCTCTGAGGGAGGACGGAGGCAGGGCCTTCCTCGCAGGTGGACCCCAGGCTGTGAGCAGGCCCTTTGCCCTGCGTTTGACTCAAGCCCAGGTCCCGTCAGGCGGGATGGCCGCTCCGACCAGTATCCAAATGACGCTAAACAAAGCACAGGCCAAGCTCACCCGGAAAGGGGCTGCCAGCCTTCCAGGAGGCCAGCCCAGCACTTCTAGGAAGTCTGCTCGGCTCAGGCCCCATTAGATTCTCCGGCTTCACTAGCTGTTCCCGGTCCCCCCGGGCTCAGCTCTCATGCTGCCTCTTCTGGGAACAGAGCTCATCTCCCTCCGACGGGCGCCTGACCCTGTCCGCACAGCGCCCTAAGAAGGAGGAATCGTGGAGCAAATTTGCTGTCAAACAGAATGTGAGTTACATTTTCAAATCATACATTCAATGTTTTCACGCAACCTTTGGGTATCTGTTCAGGTGTTCACTCGTACCTCAAATTGAAGAGACGGGTCCAATTGTTAACCTTGTAAAAAAAAGGTATAAGAAATACAGTATTTTCTCTGGGTCCCAGGCTTTTTTGGACACTTTAGGATATTTCTTACACTTTTTCACACTAACAATTGGACTCACTGCTTTAAATTTGGAAGAACTTCATTGGTAAGGTATCTGGAGGTTGAGGAAAGCCATACTGAGCATGTTGTTTTGAAAATGTACCTATTGTTCTGTTTAAAAATACGTTTATGGTAGCATTTCTGACTTTTCAGCACTGTCGTTCTTGACACATTTTTCACTAATTATTGGATGACAGGTCTGTTCCCATTAAAAATTAAACACGTCTTGGAATATCTTGTAGTCCTCTTTGACTCTCTAATCCCTAGTCAGTCCCAGCATGAAGTAGGTGGTCATAAGGGTTTGATGAATGAGTAAATGATAGTCAAGTGGGTTTCACCCTAACCGTTGCTCTGGGGCTGAGCCCAGAGTGGGCTGCCCCCCTCATTCTGTGGTTTCAACTCTCTCCTTAAACCCCCCAGAGAGTTTGGCAGGAATAAAAAGGATTAAGACTAAGACCTTTAGTCTCAGATATTGAAGAGAAATGTAAGTAAGCATCAGAGAAGTGGGCCCCTGCCTGCAGCCAGGTCCAGGAGAAAGACCCAGCTCCTCACCTGGCCAGCATGGCCAAGTCTGGGGCCTGGGGGCGAGTTATTGCTGGGTTCCTCTGAGTCTGAGCGGGGTTCCCGGGGGTGGGGAGGTCTTGCGCATGTCCCAGCTTGGCAGCAGCCAGCACTAAAAAGCTCTCCTGGAGGCACCCCTCGGTGTGCGGCCCACACCCCTCCCACGCTCGCCTGTAAAGTACTTGGTTCACATGAATCAAAGGCCCCACAAAGCCTGCCACCCCAGCAGCTGCAGCACTGGGGACACACAGGGGACGTGGGCGATGGATTGCGGGCTGGGAGCCGCCCGGCTGGGCTGCCACCTCTCAGCTGGCTCTCTTCCATGGAGGGAGCTCACTGTGCAGCCCCCAAACCCAGCCAGGCCTCCCCCTCCTCAGGGGTGGTGGTGGGGAGCCTCGGGCACATCACTTGCCCTCCTGCTGTCCCAGGTACCCCATAATGTGGGTCCTCGGGATGTCTCAGCACCACCAGGAGTCCGATCAGGTGTGCCCCCCCTGAGCTCACAGTGGCACCTACAGCCGTTCCTATTTGATTCTAAATCTAGATTTATCAGCACAGATGGAGATGCAGATATCACTACAGAAAAGCAAAACATTAGCAGTGGGCTCATTGCTGGTTTGTGAAGCTATGGGTGATATGCCTCTTTTTATTATGCCTTTCCCTATTTTCCAAGTTCTACAACATATTATGTAAGAATATAAAGTTGTGGAATAATAGAAAATGGCAAAAGTGTGTGTTTGCACTTGAGATGCCTTGTATTCCCCACACCACCCGACCCTGAGCAGCACTCGAGGTCCATGACCATCCAAATCACGGGCCTGCTACTGCTCAGGTCCCGGGGCTGAGCCTCCCGGGACCCAGGTCCTCTCCCTGCCCGGCTCACACCAGGCCCAGGGGGCTGATGGGGGCGCAGCTGTCTCCTCAGCCCATTCAGAACGTGACATTCCCCTCTCACATTCCAGGACAAGGAGGTAGGTTGGGTTTGGGGTTGCTCTGGGGTCGTGGGCCGGTGTTCCCAGAACCCCTCCCAAAACACAACTCTGGCCCATGACCACGGAGGAGGCCTGTGTATGCCAGACCTGCGTCTGGCCGCGCCGCTAGACCAGCGTGTTCAGGGAACACAGCCTTAGCGACGGGCAGGGGTGCTGGCCAAGCTGGTGCTCTGTGACCGTCCTGAACACACAGATGGCACCTCCCCATTGGGTCCTGGGACCTGGGTGTGTGACGAGTGTCTAAGAGCCTGGGGGAGAGGGTCTGCCCATGGGCACGAGCTGCCCCGGAGACGGGTCTAAGCCAGGAAAGGAAGTGAAGCGTTCCTCTGCAGGGGCCCAGGGACCCGCGGGGGGCGGACCACCTGGGCCTCTTTCCCACCACGAGGCGCGTGGCCTGCCGGCCTGGATCCTCCCTGCAGTGTCAGAATACGTGACAGCGACAGAAGGGGCCGGTCTGGGTCTCCACTGGCGGAGACTCCGCCCTCCGTGCGCAGGGCTGACGGCTGACCGGCGCTGCCCGCCCGCCGTCCTGGCGCCCTGTCTTCCGGCCGTGCACCTGCTGCCCTGCCTTTCCTCCTGGTCCCTCCTCCCTGCATTTTCCTCCCCAATTCACCCCTACCAGCCTTTTATTTCTCTATCATCGGCTCCCTCTCCCTGCCCTCCTTTTTCTCCAAATGGCTGCTTTCCAAGGTTGCATCATTGCCTGTCCCCCCAGATAGCCGCAGGTGACGTGTCACCCAGCAGCCCTGGCCCTCAGGACTCGTGGACTGCCCTTGTGCTTGGTCCAGCTCTCTCAGTGGGCTGGCAGTCACTGGCCATCCTTCCTGGCATCGGGGAGTGACTTTCCTGTGTGGCCGTTGAGCATGCACTGCTCTGGGCTATTGAATGTAGTGGTCACACTGTCCACTGGGGTCATCAGGGAGTTGCAGTCAAGTCTGCAGCATGACCTGTGACCTGGGGCCAGCAAGCCTGTCTTAATCCCTAGACGGGTCAGGCACAGACGGCAAACTCAGAAACCTGCGGCTATCTCTGCTGCCCTTTATGTTTGCACCCAGGATGCACCCGGTGAGCAGCCCTGACCCCTGCCCTCCACCTGATTTCAAACGCTCAAAGCCTTTCATCTCTGGCAGCAGAGATCTGAAAAAGCCATCATTTCTTTTTTTAAAGGGAGAAGGGGGCAAGGGAGGGTAGCACACACATACTTTTTCACAACAAGTCAAAGTCAGTGTCACCAAGGTAGCCTGCCAGGGTATTTGGAATCTAGGTTTGTAACATGTATCATCTTTGATCCTCTGTGTGACCCTCCAGTTTAGTGGGAACTTGAACTAAATTGTGCTATTTTAGTTGAACACCAAATTCCAAGAGTCATTATTTTTTGGAACAAAATCAAACTCTTAAACTTCAAAAAAATCAGACCCCATTGAAATGAGGGGCTGGCATTTGATCTGAATCTACATACATTTATTTTATTTCCTAATGTTATTAAATTAAGGAGAATGTCAACCGAGTGCCTAACTTAAAACCGGTGATTCATACTGGCTAAAGAAGTCTCCTTTTCCTCTGAATATATGTCCTATAAATTTAAAGGGCAAGGCTCAGGGAAGTGGTGACAAAGAGAAGGTTTGCTTGCTTTTACGGTTGTGTCGGCTGACTTAGGCATATGGCCATGGAGATGGTCCTCCCGTTCCAGGAGGACAGGGAAGACCGTGGCTAGGCAGACACACGCCTTGAATAACTGCCGCAGAACGAAGCCCCTGCAGCTGAATGTGTGGTGTGCTGGGTTCTGCGCTGGTTTTCTCCAGAATGTGCCCACTGTGGTGGGTAGCATTTGTCTTTTCATTGGGCATTAATAAAACTTAAGTTTTCTTATTCCTAAGTTCCCTGCCTTTGAGAAGCTGAACTGATGAATGGACGTAAACTTTGTAATTCCCCCCAGGCAGATCCCGGGTGCCTGGACCAGAATCCCCCTGGAACGGCCGCGGGGTCCGGCACGAAGCCACGGTGTCTGCATCCCAGCTCTGTGCTGTACTGAGGGCAGCGCGTTATACCCCAGCCTGTGTTTCTGATGCTGTTACAGACACGAAGCTCCGAACACAGAGGCTGCCTCTCTGCTGTGTGGGGGATACCTAAACCCCCATGCTTTTCTTCGGGGAAGGAGGAATTTTGTTCCAGTTCTGAACATCTCAGGGAACATCATCTCCCAAGAATGGCTCAGAAAAGTCACCCAGGCCAACCCTCGGGGGGAAGTGCTCTCAGGTCAGGCCTGGCTGCCTTCTGCTTCGGGCGAGGGTGCTGGCGCCTGCAGCGGTTTGGCCCCAAATACCCCAAAGCCCCCCACCCCCCTTCTGGAGCAGAAAGTGGGCAAGCAGCAGGGGTCTTGGAGGGCTGCAGGAATGGGACGAATTTTGCCTGGAGTTGTACCAGCTCTCAAATACCTGGAAACTACGGTGACTGTGTGAACCAGAAATTTCAGTTGTGTGTGTTTTAAAGGCAAGAATTTTAAATTCTTAAATTAAAAAAGCAAAGAGAGAGAATAATTGAAATATAGTTACTAAAAAGGATCTCCGATTGCAACATTTATCTGCAGTGTGTCTTCTGGTAAAAAAAAAAAAAGGTGCCATTCCGTTAGCGCTCTCTAGTATCAATCCCTCCCTTTTCTCCCCCCTGCTACCCTTCTCTCCTTCATCTCCCTTCTTAAAATCGATGTCACCGTCTCTTGCCACTCTCTTCTCTCCCCTCCGTCTCCCATCTGCAGGCTCCCTCTCCACGGATCCCTTCCCTCCCTCCTTCCCTTCCTAAGACCTGTCCAGACCTGAATCTGCTTACAAGCCTCATGTACTGATTTCCTGGAAGAACTCCCTGCCTCATGCCAGCCCCCCCCAGTCACTGCCCCTCAGAAACCCAAGGCAGGAGGTGGAGGCCCGCGTGGAGTCCCCGCCTGCCTTCCCCTTGGCTTGCAGCGTTTCTCCAGCTCCTTGTAGCTGAGCAACTGGGAAATGAGAGCATGTCTTCTCTGAAATATTTCAGGGAATTTATTTCATGGCCGGAATTATTTATCTAGCCTAGGCTGCCAGAAGATTCTGAGCATCTAGTCATTTGGAGGTCGTCGATGACCGGCCGTGCCCTGTCCATATTTCTCTGGCTGCAGTAAGGCAGTTCTCTGAGCAGTCAGCCGGGGGATATTAACTCACTCTTTCTTCTCTGCTAATTTGAGTGTTCAGATGATACATGGCCAGACACAAACACACTCCTGACAGCAGTTGCCAGGGAATATTGCTTTTCTTTGGACTTTGACACCAGCTCCAACTTTGAGAGGAATTTAAGTGATATTTATTGCATAGAAATTCCTCGCTGGAGCTCTGCTCTTCTGGCTCAGCCTGCTGACAACACATTAGGTTTATTCTGACATCACCTAGTCTGAGACTCTAACTTAATTAACCTCACTAGGGACTCGGGGCAGTTCTGGACCGCAGCTCAGCGCAGATCTCATGATCGGTACTAACCAGGGCCCTTAGGGGTGCCTCCAGCCAAACACACTCCAAAGAACACACCCCCTGCACACCTTGCTGACCATTTTCCAGGTTAACTCTGACCTCCTTTAGGGGGACAAAAATCTGTTTGTCTTGGGACTGACTGAAGATGCCGGGTGGTTTTGTATAGTAAATTTAAGTCCACCTTTATGTTGTACCCCTTTATATATATATATAT